CAAAATCAACTCGTTTTATTGTAAATAATGTAATACGTGTTAATATATAAAACCCAATCAGATTTATTGTTCATGTCATAAAACGTTCTTCAAATTTAACTTAAATTCAATTTAATCATGGGTAAATAGAATGCATATAAAATCTTATATGTAAGCTAATTGTATAAATATAAAACTAAAACTTATCTGTCTTAGTATTTAACGATCTATATGTATAGACATGTCATCTATGTTAAAAATTTTAAGAATCAAAAAGTTATAGATTGCACATATATAATAGCATTATTTATTTTTAATTTTAATTTTAATACCCAAGATTTCAAAATATAATACAATATTCCTCATAAGTTTTTTTTTAACGAAATTAAAGAAAAAAAATATAGAGTATAGCCACATAAATTCTTAAAAAACGTTTTATAAATTCAAGTTTTGACGGCATAGGAAATTCAAAGCATAATTTTTATTTATCCTCGAACTATTTTTTTTTTTTAATTAGTACTAATAATTATTCACAAAATGTTAACTATAAATATTTGAAATATTCCATTATTGTTTAAATTATTATTTTTTATACATAATGAAATTTTCAAAATATTTAGAGTATTTTTTATCTATGTACAAACATTTTAAATATACAAAAATTGTGTTTCTTGTTCGAAAATTTTAAACATTCAAACAAGTTTCCTCATTAGTTATAATTAAAAATATTTTATATACAAAAAGTATACATAAAAATTTTTAAAGAATCAAATTTTGACAAAATTCTTGAAAAATTTATAAAATTTTCAATTATTGGAATATCATTTGAAATCATAATACGAAATTCTTCATAAATTTCTTTTAAATTTCCTAATAAAAATAAAAAGGTAAACATACATTTATTCATAGACATTTTAGGTTTAAATTTTAACAAAATTTCGATTTAAAATATTTTTTCCATAATAATTTTAGTTATTATGCTTTAAACTTTTCACCTATTATTAATTTCTATACACGATGCAATTTTGAATAATTTCAAACTATTTATACTATGAGCCGATTTACACCGTTGTCAGTTCTACGTAGTATTGGTAATAATATTATAATTTATACGATGTTTTCGCAAAAATAAATTTAGCAACCGCATAACTAATATAAGAATAAGTTATTAATAAAAAATATAAAATATCCTTATAAATAGAAGCTGACACACCATCTCCAATCAGAATTGATTTTTTTTTTTTTTTTTGAACGACTTATCTTTGAATTCAAATTTAACACATCTTTTTTAATGATACACACCTACTTAATAACGATGAGACACTCTCAACCCCTACAATAAAGCAGAGCGACTTCCCTGGTATTTTTATGTAACTATATCGGATAAATGTTAAAAACATTTTTCATCAATTTTTTTCAAGCTTTTTAAATGCATTTTTTATTTCGTACAATCATTATTGTCTATAGGTATAAGTACCGGATCAAATGACAAGTTTTGGCTACTCAGCACAACATATTTTATCGATTAAAGATATACTTCTGTTTATATAATAGCCAAATCATATAAAACAATAAATAATCGACAACCCAAAAAAAAAAAACCAATTTATTTTCAATGTAATAAATTATCACGATTTAGTACCGCTGAGGTTGTGTGTGTTGGTTTATGATAGTATGTTAATGTGCATATTAGTCAGATTATCTTAAACCTTATTATTTTTATAGCCTGATCATTATTATTTTTTTTTTTAATACGATTCTTGATGATCGGTAATCAGATACCTACTAAAATATTACAAATGTATAAAATATATAATAATCAAAATCTATAGTTTTTAACATTTATCCTTTCAATATTTACATACGTATTTGTGGATAGTCCAAGCTTTTAATTAATTGATAATAATAACAATATTTTTTTTTAAAAGAATACTATTTTTTCTTGATTTTTTAAAACAACCTAATATATCTGTCAGTGATCAAATATTTTATTTGTATTGAAAGCAAACCATCATAACAAAGACGTAAACGTCACGACACAATTAGTGTTCAACGACATCGATGGTTTATCAAAAAATTATTATCGTAGTGACCTCGATAATCGTGATTATAAATAATTTTATAAAACCTTTAGTTTTTATATATACGACACTTTTATTGGCATTATTCGTGGCCACATTCATTTTTTTCCAAAATCCATTAAATTTTTGTTTTTTTTCTCTCCATAGGTACCGTTTACCGACAAAATTGATTAGGAAACAATACACTTTCGTTTTAATATTATACCTTTTTTGTTTTATAAACCTGCATCTTATCATTTATTTATTTTTACTTTAATTTTGACATCATTCAAAAATATTATAATATTAAATTTAAACAGAATTAGACACTTTCACTTAGATAGTATGTATTGGTAATACGCGTTACATTTTTTTTTAAATTAGATAATGTAATTTATTTGAGTACCTTTACATATTTTTTTATTGCTAACTATTCTATTAAGTGTTTAAAAAGATGATTTATTTTACTTACTTGATAAAATTAATGATCGAATGATTGATAATGTTAAATATATTTCAAATATATGTTTGAGGTTTTCATTATTGCCCTGCTAACAAAAAAATACTATTGAATATCATTAAGAGAACGTATTATATACGCGCATACGTGTAATTCCGTCTAATACTGGTGTATAAACACAGCAAATATAACTTTAAAAAATGTATTATACATTGTTTTTTTTCCAAATTGAAATGAATTAACTTATTGTCAAATTTAAAAAAGAAAAAGAAAATTGTGTAAATAAACTTGTAGGTTAGATTTTGATATTTTAATGTTTAAAAAGTTATGAAAATTTTAAAATTTATGAAATTCTTATAATTTTCATTAAAATAAAAATATATTGTATTAAATGTAAGATTTTCAAAACTTTTCTTAATAATTTGGTATAAACAAAAATAATCCATATGTAAAACAAGTAATAATTAAAAAACAGATAAATGTAAATACTTGAAATTTTCACCAGTTTATATTAACATTTTCTATACTTTCAAAACATTTTAAAACTTTATGAAATTTTTGATTGTTTTTCAGAAATTGTCAATTAAAAAAAATTTACCTAGTCCAAAAGCTTAAAGAATTTAATACAAACTTCCTCATAATATGAAAAATATATGTAATATAATATAAATATGTAATTTATTCTAAAACTAAAAAATAAATATACTTTTTTTTTATCGGTAATATAATACCAAGTGAAAATAAAAATCATAAAAATGCCAAGATAAATTTAATAATCAAGTTTATAAATTTATAATAATAATATAATCATTACGTACTTCCATTTCCCATAAATATATCACAACTATATTTACCTTTACAGTACTTTGATGAAGTAGTTAATAATAATAACTAGGTAGTTAGAACATTGTTGGTGTACACCTAAAACTTTTGAAAGCAATAACTTCATCAATTTCATTGAAAGATGTTATTAAACCATGAAAAGTTTATGCTTTTATAATATTATAATCAAACTTTTTTTCAAGTTTAAATTTAAATATGTGGAAATACGCAAAATAAAAATTAATTTATTGAAAAAATAACTATACAAAATGTAATTGTTTATGAATTTATCAATAGAATTGATTATACTGGTTAATTTGGACAATAATAATTGATGAATTTAATTTTTGAACAATTTATTTTAATACCTACAATCATCTTTTTCTGTAAAAAAAAATATATTTTAGCAACAATAGGATGACTATCAAAAGTAGCTTACTCCCCCGCCACCACCACTAAATAATAATTATATATCTATTCCGATTATTATATTCATTTACAGTGTATTTTTATTCATTCATAGTCAATTTTTTTAAAGTCTTCATTCGATTATTGGTGATAAAAAAATTAATGGTTAAATAAATTACTTTAATAGTAATATATGATATATACTTTTAAATATAGGTTGAAAATTAAATTATCAAATCGGTCTTCACACACGAAAAACATACAATGATATTATATTGAACTCAAATTTAACACAATATGCATTATGTCAACTTATAAGATGGACAAACTCGATACCTACTGTATATAAAATTACTAAGTAGTTAATATTACTTATTTATTACTTAGTTTATTTATACCTACTTTTTTCATATTTTACCTTTAAATATGATAAATATCAGTTCATTCTAAAACAATAGAGTAAATTTCAATTTAAAATTTGTATAAGCTACTTGTTAAATCAGAGTATAATTTTCAAAGTTTTTAAATAAAGTAAAAAGACTAACTTCACAGGCTCATTCAAATTGATTCTTTTCTGAACGTAAAATTTTTCATTATATCAGTCAGTATAAGACTTGAACAACACTTCATATAACGTGCTCTTTTAACTAAAAAATAAAAAGTGTAAGACGTAAGTACGAGTAGTAACTATGTTCGATAATACAGTAATATTCTTATTGAACTCAAAATCAAATTTAAAAAATAATCAAATGAAAAAAAAAAAAAAGAGAGATACTGGTAAAAAACGGAATAACGCTGTTTATCGAATTTGGAAGAAAAGTGGTACACAATCATATTGGTACTCGGTCACGGATTTTATTAAAATTATTTTAATAATTCGTAAAAGATCACATTTTCAAATATAGCCTTAGCTTAATCCAATACAGTACAATACATTCTCGCCGGAGTATTCACATGTTCGTATTATTAATTTTTTTTTCCGGTTACCTACTACTCAACAAAACACCGCAGACAGAATAATATTATAACAATTAACAATGACGCATTATTAAATTGTTGTGATGTTATGCGTTATACAGTATATACATACAACTGTTGAACTGTATATATTCGCACGCGTAGACGTACAACAACACAATAATACACGGTTTTCATAATTTGTTTATTAAAATTTAAAACACATTACCTGTGTGTGTTGTGTAAACCGTTGTGATTTTTCGATTTATCAAAGGTCACGTAATGGTCGGACGATAAGGAAATAGATGGGTATTGATGGGATATAATATTGTGTTTATACATCAGCCAGTATGTACTCTTCCGTTTCAGAACACTGTTGATATTATGCTCCCGTCCTACAACTCGTACCCGATCGCTGCACAACGTGACCACTCATAATACTATGTGATTTGGCCAGAGAAACACCGCACTTTCGTATCAAAAATGAGTAAGTACTAAGTATCATAGTAATGATTGTAATTTGTAATAATAATAATAATAATAATAATGCCCACCCGGTTTAGTGTGACCGTCGGCGTCAACACATAGTAATCCGGCTGTAATTACTTTAATATTTTTGTTGTTATAACTATATATTAGATATCGGGTTGTTTGTTTAACAGGTCTCGAATTCAGCCAAGAACATGGCCATCACCATCACCGGAGTTGTATATTTACGTGGATATCCTTTGTGCTGGCCGTCATTTACACGCCAGTGTATTGCATATGTTACCTAAGTAAGTCAAATAGTGTACATTATTCGTGATGATATGCATGTGCAATCAACAATAATAAATTATTTATAATAATAAATGGTTTAATACGTGCATTAATTATGTTACTGACCCGAAGATCGAATTTAACTGTTTAATGCTGTATTTCGTAAGAATTCCGTTTCATCATTTTTTTTTTTTCAATTAAAATATATCTGTTCTTGTCCGATTATTTTATCTAAGAATTTTAAAAATAAAATGGTCCGTGTTTATGAAATAAACCGGACAATTTTAATTACAATTATAATAGTAATATTGTTTATTTTTAACCAACTGAAAACAAACATTTTAAAATAAAATAAAATTGTTATTTTAAAAATACATTATAAGTTATAACTTATGACAAATTTCTAAATACAACATTTTATCGATCTGTTCATTTACAATAAGTATAATATTGAGTACTTACCCATGTCTTAAATATTGTTATTGTTATATAAAATAATATTATGCTTATTGCACATAAACAAATCGATTAAAACGATTATAATAAAAATATAATATATGAATACGACTGCGATGTGTTATGTCAATTATTACAACTGATTTTTCATACACTTAATATGATCTTCCTAAACATCATTTTTCACATGTATCATACTATTTGTTGTACTTACGCTATAAATCTCAACACTCAATAGTATTCATTTTTATAAATTAAATATTGTCAGATTGTAAAAAATAAAAATCTAATAAAACGATGCAAAGGCAAGAAATGTTTTTCTCAGAGTGTAAATGGGCCGTATTAATGTTCAGATCAGTCGAATATATTACCAAACATTTTATATAATTTTTCAAAAACAATCAATTCATTCTTATCTAATTAATAAATTGCAATAGTATAGGTACCAAACAATGTATAATAATCAGCCCATATCAATTTTACTCCTATGCATCGTGTCATTTAATTTCAACTCATTTGTATTTTATCACTTAGAATTATGAGGTATGTGTAAGCATAATTTAAACATTAATAATTATTCAAACCATAATTCAAAATAACTATCATATTTTAAATTATAAATACAACCATGTGTACTATAAGTAACTATAAAAATTATTTCTATCAAACGTTTTTATACTTATGTGTATGTGTTACGCAACAGCTAAATTCGCATAAAATAAATAAACAAATGTACTTCGCAATGTTTCGCTAAAATTTTATTTTGAAATAATATTCAGAAACATGCCGTATTTCCATTTTATGAAAAATATTTGATTTTTTTCTAAATTATACGATACTACCGATCTCTTTACATACGCACGCACACATACACACACACACTATAGCCGAACCAATATGAACCGTAATCCCATACATCCGACGTATTGATTGTTGAGAAAGGTAGGAATACAAAATGCTTACTAGAAAACATAAGATATTTAAGATTTGAGTTTCGATAGTGCGAAAGTAATTGAAAACAATGGTTATTACTTATTAGGATTAAGCGAAAAACGTTTTCAACGTGGATTGGAAATGTTTGTACTTCGTATTCTATAAATAATATTAAAGTTGAAATGTAATACTGTGAAACACGGTTTAACGGATATATCGAAATATTGGACGGTATTTTCGGGGAACAAACTACAAATTGAACTCTCTGAATATCGGACATCTCTGAATCGTGGACAAAATGTTAGCTATCAACAGTGTTTGATGCTTGGATGTTTCGCCGTAGGTACAATAATGTTGTGACACAATCATACAGATATTTCTAATATTCACCAGCCGTAAGCCACTGTAATACATAGATGTGTGCGATGTGACATGTCCGCAATATCGTAATGCGCGCGTACCGTAAAGTATGCATCACCGCGAGAGTTTAGTGCCATAACGCACGGAACCCGGTCGACTATCCCTAAGTCCGAAACCTGTGTATAAACGTAATATTCTGGTCGACGGGCTTAGATGACGTTTATCAAACGCATCTCACGCGCAGTAGATATATGTATGCATAACCGTGTATAGATACGCTTCTGTTCGGTCGAGGGCAAAAACATATGCAATAAGGGGAAAAAAATAAATGTATTATTGCAGTGCCTATTGCTATTTGACGATTCCGTGCCTAAACCCAAATCCCAGCGACAATTGGTTTGCAAGTTTCGGTTTACCGTCTGGCGTTTATTATCTTGTTTGTTTTTTTCTTCAAAACGTAACTGCGTTGTGAATCCCGATATAACTCTGTATGGCGATGACGCGCAACAGAATGTTATTTCATCATTATTATTTATTTCATAAAATAATATGACACGGCGGTTAAAGAAAACAAAACAGTTTTATTTCTTCTTAAAAACGTCAACAATCAAAATAGTTTTTATTATTTACTGACAATATCCTATGTTGACATTTAAACCTATCATAATAAGATAATAATCGAAATGTGTTGTATGTGGCTTAGTGGCTATAACGCAGTACCTATACGCCTTTACGAAAATGTAACTGTTGATTTTCCTCTGTATGTACGTTACAGTCGTAACACACGATAAATTATTAAAAACCCATATGGTTTGGGATTTAACACCTTAAAAACAGCAACAACAACAAACAATCTGTTTCATAATACATAATTAAAAAATATTATTTATTTGTTTTCAGCAACAACTCTTGGTAGATTTGTATTATTACGAATTCTAAAAAAGAAGTATCCAGACTTAGAGTTCATAAAGTCGGTGTCCATTCAGTCTGCAATGGATACACCTAAAAATATAGGATACATTGTGGTATTACTTAAGGTTATTGGAGATTTTGACATTAATCTGATGAAACACACAATTCAGGTGCTTATTTAATTTGATTTTATCCACAACGTTTTTATACAATATAATATATGCTTACATCACACAAACGTAAATTAAAATAACAAATATTATATATTACTTATCTAGTTTATATGTAAGTAAATTCGATTTGCGATTTAAACACTAATTTCTCTGAAATAAATTATAAAATTAAACTTCACAAATTATTATGATAAATAAGAACTAAATATTTTGGAAAATACAGAATTCATGTCAGATTGGTCTATTTTTTAAACTAAATTTATATCTAGGTAGTTAGTTTTACTTCTAAAACTTAAATTAACCGTACTTAAAGTCATATCGAATTAATTATTTTTAATGCGTGTGAGTTAACAAAAGTTTGTTTTAAATTATGATTAAATTAAATGATGTTAATGATATTATGTTAAAGTTACAGATTAAGGTTAAAAAATCTCTATTATTTTTATTTTAATAACAAAAAGATTTATAATTTCCTACTATATATATGTTAAAGATAATCGATTAAAACGAATTTATTTATCATGTATATCTAGAATACGAGTATGGGTATCGTTTTTCAGAAATGTTTGTTTTTTCTATAAAATATTCTTTACTCTAAAGCATTTGTTACACTAAGCAGGTACTAAACCCAAAGCTAAGCTTTAACGAGTTAAAAATTAAAATTGCCTATTTATAACTAAGTCACAAAACAAGTTATCTTTTTTAAAATAACTTCTAACTTAATGAGTTAATATTTGTTTCATGATATGCAGTTAATAATTAGTTTTAATTTGTGTAATATTCATGTCAAGTTAAGTTTTTTTTTTTTTTTTGTTGAACCCCGCATTTCCGCATTTAAAATGAATTTGTTTTGTACAAATTAGTATTTCTCATAAGAAAAAAAGTAAATACTATAAATTGTAGACTGTGCAAGTAAATTTAAGTGCAGTATTAAAGGAATTAAAACAACGTATATAAATACAGCTTAGTATACATTTCAGTAAAAATAATATACAGCCTCGCATTAAATTTAAAATTTCTCAATAATAACACTACCGTGAGTAATTCAGTTTGACGCTTAAAAATATGTTAGTGTCATAACCCTATTTAGTATATTTACTTAAATAATAAATAATTTCTGTTGGTATAAAGTCTATCATTGGATTTCTGTTAATTCTTTTTAAATAATTTAATAATTTTATTTGATTCTTTTTTGTATTAATTTCACTATATATATTTACGTTTTTGTGTTGGCATGTACTTTTATCAAATTTACTTATTAAGCTTTAGCATAAGTTGTAAATATTCAGTTGAAAAAAATGAAGTTGATTGTTCATTAAGTTAAGTTACTTATGTTATTTATTCAACTTGTAACTTTTACGAGTTAAAAAGAAAAAAAATGTAAGGCGTGATACGCCACAACATAAACTTGCGGCGATGGTGGAGTGTGGATTTTATTTAAATATTGTTTAGACAGATATAGTGGAAAAATACGACCGGATAACCGGTCGTCTGTATTATCCGCACCTTCGGTGTTCGCTAACGAAGAAATGGTTGCGGTACGCGTGGATCAAATCACCTAACTTCTCCATCGACAACCACGTGATCGGATTGCCGGAAACCAAAAAAGCAGCATCCGAGGACGACATTATGGTGAGTGCGTATGTATATTAATATTACATATAATATATTATATGTGAGTAATGTTACTTATAAAGAAATATATAATATAATATTGTGTGGCGTTGACAGTTGGGTGTAGTTGAATAGTTGATGCACAAGGCGTATTTGCTAGGGGACGTCTCCCCTCTTTGGGACCTCTTCCCACCAACAAAAAAAAACAAATTAAATCTCAAATAATGTCATTATAAGTGAGTTTATAGGTATAGTTAAATTGTAAATAATATTTTATAATTTTAATCATTGTTGTATCTATCTTAATGACAACGAGGCTGCGAGCTATGATAATTCGTACATACTGAGCGAAACACGTAGTGCGTCAGATTGTACAACGATGTAATTTTTCTTTTATGTGAACTTTTCCTCGAGCAAAAACCGTAGCTTGTCACGACTCACGAGTACAAGTAAATCGATTTTCATATAATGCATACCCGGCAGAATGGTTTCCGGAAATCCGTCGAGTAAATCGAACGCCTTATTTCATATCCTATAATCGGCCGTATTCCGCATCAGTACTAGACGATAAATAAAACTTTGCGCGTTTAAAATATTAAATAACAATAGGTGTTTAATCTCTGTATTATTAAAATTATTATTTATTATTCAATGTCACTAAAGAATTTCGTTATTAATAACTTAACAACATATTAGATATTTTAGGTTAAATTTTGTAAGTCTGAAAATTGTGTCGACATTTTTTTTTAAATAAAATTCATAATCGACCAACAAAATAATATTCAAAAGAAATAATTAATATACTATGTTCAAAAGATGTATAACTATAGTATATCATGAGGTAAAAAAAGTAAAAACAATAATTTGAATAATTATTATGATATGTTTTGCTTTAACAAAATATTTGATATTTAGGTATACAGTAACACCGCAAAAGTATGTTTTGTGTACTAATAGTACACAAAACACAGCGTTACGGTATTACTATGGTTACTTATTGCCATATTTATCAGTAGGTATACCGACTCGAATAAAACATAATATACTTGTCTTATATTAATAATATTTGTTCATAATGATTATCAGTGAGACATACAAACCCAGTGAATGTTTGATATAAAAATATTCAAATCCATGTTAGGTTAATGAAGACAAAGTGAAAATAAAAACTAAATTATGGTACGTGGAAAAAACTTTAAGTCCGACACATGCGTGATACTACAGTATTAGAGTATTACGAATATTAGATAAACTTTTTAAAAAATTGCATTTTCTCACGTTTGAAAGTATAGAAAAAAACATAAGCCTTGGTTATTTTGAAACGTCAAAAATGTAATCGGCAAAAACATAAATATAAGAAATATTTTACAAAAATTAAAAACTAATTTTTCGATGTTTGATCAGATAAAATACCTCGAGTGCTGTGTGTTAACCAAATTAAACAATTTAATATTAAGCACTCTCTGAATCAATATATAATATAATTAAAGTAAAACAAAAGCCGTGAGATCATATCAGACAATTTATTGGCGCTCAAAATCGTGAAACGCGTAATTTAATTACCTTACATATTATAATTGAGCGAGAGCGTGGGTGGTACTGTAGTAAAGATTCTCTAAAAAATCGTATGAAAATTGCAAACTTTTTAGGGTTACGTATCTGCAGAAAATATGAATAAATCGACAAACGGGAAGATAAACATTCAATATTGTTTGTTATAGATACGTATGTTTTTCATGTTTTCACAAGCTATATTTTATAGAATATAATTGGTAGAGTTTTGAATACAATCAGGATTTATATTTTTTTTTTACCGACCAGATTATTTAATCGAAATACTTTTGCATCATTCGATTTACGATTCAGATAACTCACGAATTCATTTAATATGAATGATACCATAAGTAAATAATTATATAAATTAAAAATAAACGGCCGAAAATCCATAAATCATCTTTTTAAAGTGCTTTTTTCTGCTAAAACTACGACGACGATAAAATGTTATTTCAAGATTAATGTTAGATAATTATACATTTAACCAACTTATTTTTTACTCTGAAACGAATAATAATAATAATAATATACAGATGGTATAATTAAGAAATTTCTCGATATTTTGTTAAGTACGCAATATTTAAGGCGACCGTCTAAAAGGGATAAATACAACACATATTGTAGATATGTTGTCTTTATTTCTTGCTCTTGAAACTAATTAGACCAAAAATGAATGATGATTCTATACAATATTATGGTATTTTGCAACAGACCAATAACTATTGCTTAATATAGTACCTACCAATTACCATTTATACGATATAATAATAATAATAATTATTATTATTATTATTATATCGTATAAATAATTATTATTATTATTATTATTATTAAACAACGAAAGTGTGCTATATTCATTCCAATATACGGACACAACACATATATACCTAGCGAATTATATCGGTACATTTTTCTACTGTATAATATTATTATGATTTATTTTTCTTTTTTTTTTTTCATATCGTAGCGATATTTTATCCAGGTCTTATGAGATTTTTTCTAACTTAATCGAGAACATGCACAGTGACATCAAATATTGGTTTACATTTGTACACAACCAGAATATTTTACCGTTAAAGTTAAAAAAAAAATCGCACATCGCCTGTAGATTTATGGTAAAAATATAACACAGACATACTGTGACATACAGAATGATTCACTCTAAGCATGCTCATCCCTATTTTTACCTTTAATAATAAATTTAATCAAATTATTTTATTTTTGAAATTTTTTAGTACATACATGTACGTATTATAAGAACCATATTTCCAAATACTTACATTTTTTATTCCATTTAAGAGCATTGTCCTATGTAGACACAAAATTTTTCCTCGTAGAGAAGCCGATTTTACTGTCAATTATTAAGCTGATAATGTTTTTGAATATCTAAATAAAAATTCAAACGAGTGGTTTTCCATCTTATTAAAATATATATACATACAAAATTAGACATAGTGCTTTAAAATTTTTTTACAAAACCATAAAATAGATGTAGCATTTAATCGATTACTTACAGTTATTGTACTCTGGCAATTTTTACCAATCATAAAATATTCATTAATTAATGCTCATTGTTATGATTTTCAAATGAATATAATATTTTTCAATTCTCATATCATTATGGACCTATTTTTCTTAATAAAAATGGAAAACTACTTATTTAAATTATTTCGATATTGATACATTAACATTTAAAAAAATCATTTAGTACCTAAACAAATTTATAGAAAAATAAGTATTTATCGTGTTAAAAAAAATAGTTGGTGCGGTACATTTTACTCCATAAATCGTACATAAAAAAAATTACGGTTTTTAAATAACTTTTCTTAAACATTCCAAATATAAAATTTTGAATTAATTCATTATTAATGAAAAAATAAGGATGTGTTCGGTGCTCACGCTGTGTATATTTTAAACTTCATACAATCATCATAGAATTTATAAAAATATTAGTAATAATAGTTACATTAAGCTATTATAATATTTTTATAAATAATCGATGATAATAATAATAGTGATTAGTGTATTGTATTATAAAGATATTGTCAAATTAAAACTTTCGCGATCTTTTAAGTTACATTTTATCTGCCAAGATTTCATATTAAATTTTAGTAAACAAAATGTTATGAAAAAAATGCACGAGTATTTAATGATATTTAAAAAAAAAAAAATAGCTATCCCCTTTACACACACATACATCAACTATCAACCATTTCCTAAACAAGTAGCATTTAGTATAAAATATGATTAGGCACCCACATAATATCTAAATAATTATTATTTGTCGGTATGTTATTATACACGGATAGACTAATGAAATAATAATTTGAGGTTTTAATACAAACGCATATAATTGACAACGCTATAAACATAAAAGTCCGATTTTTTGAAACTTTTGCGACTTTGCGGTGGATCGTTACTTTTCATACATTTTACAAATAAATTAATGTATTTCGATAATTACTGCTGAAAATGATATCTATAATTATATTATTTGTATCTATAACGTAGTGTCTTAATGCACTACAATATCAATTACTGCGCAATGAAAAATGAATGGAAATTACGAAATTACCAACACAAAATATGTCTGAATATATATAATATCTACTGCCCACTTTAACGTGAGACAATCATAAATATGAAAACGTTTTTAAATTTATTTTATAAACTTACGAATTGTGAGTGGCCCGTTTTGTAACGATTCTTGTTGCGCTCCTATAAGTGTAGTAGAAGTTAACAAATAATGCATTACATTTTAAACTTCTAGACCACGCGTGATGGAAATCCACGTATAGAGTCGGGTACCTACCTAATAATTATACAATATTGTAATGGGTAATCTTCTGTCACGGCCAACGTTATCAGAAAATTCACAAAAACGACCCTGTAGTCTATAATGATAATAATAATAATGTATAAACGAAAAATAATCATAATATCGATATAACTATGTGACTTACCAACTCAGAAAATCGTACGAAATTATTTCTTGGCAAACCGTTCGTAGTTTTATCGGGTTGTAGATTATAGGCTTTTTTTTATTACTGAACACGTCGTTAGCAGTGACGACTATCCTATGGTCCATGTGTCTATGTGTTGCTTAAGCAATACAAACAAAACTTGGATGGGTGGGTGGGTACCTAAATGGATGGTTGGATAGGTGCTAGGTTATTGATTTATAATACTATGACTTATTAGTGTAATACAATTAAAAAACAAAAACAATAGAAATACAAGTTCTGAAATAAATCATTTTCAGAAGTAAACATTTTCTGTAGATATAATGTTATTTTTATAAATTAAAAACTCAACTACTATAAACTATAATTAAAATAACACATTAACACCTACACTTGCGGACTATTTATATTATTTAGTTTGTAAATGATTTATCTGTAAATCAAAATGGTCAATTATTGATATTCCGGCTGCTTATACCACCTCTTCCAACCTAGGTTGATGAGGTATAGGTCATCAGAAATATTTTCAGAAACACAAATTTATTAAAGGATAGCCGCCACTGATCGTCAATATATAAAATAATAAGCTAGGTACTTACCTATAGGTGTCCATAGACGGCATAAACGATAGAGATAGGTAAGAGAGATACGTATACTATATAGGTACTGTGGATAAGCACTTTAATCCGACGGTTTTTGGATAAAACGCCTATCCACGAACCAGCCATGTATTGCATTCGATTCAAAACGATATTCGTTCCCGAGACAATTACATTATTACGCTTTGTCCCATGTGTTTCCAGCGGACAAAATAAATTACACATTTTCTTCGTCCTATTATTACCAATTAAACTGCAAACCATTTCTAAGTTTTCATGTACACGACATGTTCACACAATCACAGTTATACACCGTGTATAACTGTGTACAACAAACACGATGCCGTTAAATGATCGATAGTCGCAACTACGTGAGTGTGCTAGATACAAGCTTTTCCGCGATTAAACGTGATGTACACGGTACGCGTATATTTATATATTTTATTTTCAGCCGTTCTCGGGTTGATGTACGTTTGTGGCAAGCATATTTAGCTCCGGGAAAGAAGTTCAACTGAAACTTTCAGTGCAAGTATTACCTACCTACGCGTAGGTAGTTTCATTATTGCCATTAACTCGTCCCAAATTAAAAAAAAATGTACGGAGCTAAAGTTGATGAGAAAAAAAACATCTGATGACTATAGATGTCGTTCAAATGCTTTAACATTTTAATTAAATTATTTATTATTAAACACAAAGCACATACATTTAAAACAAAACAAATTGCCGCCATCTCGTTGTTTTATTCACAACACTCATCGTAATGGTAAATAAGTGCAATGATGTACCCTACCTACCGTTGTACCACTTGTACCACTAGGGATACTTCCTTCGCATGGACACTCTGAGTAAACCTATTTTTGTTTTATTTATCTTGATATACCAGTTTGATAGATATACTTAACGAAATATTTTCAAATACATCTACATGATAAATTAGAATTACTTATGTAGGTGTATATTAATTATATATTTATAATATGCAACTACTATACAAGTATACCAATATAGCCCATATTATAATTTATACCAACTAATTTGTTGTCAGTCATCAATCATGATTTTAATTGACGTACTTTTAAGTCATGAGTTTGAGTAGTCGTAGCAAGAATAAATAAATAAGAAAGCCGCTTGATTCCATCAAAAATCATTGTGTACCTATGTGAAATTCTTTTTTTTAATGTTTCAAAATACTTACTATACACACACGTTTCGTTTTTCTGGGATCATAAAATATTATATTTAAGTAGTTAAGTTTCTACCGAAAGCAGTACCTCCACCCCCCCCCCCCAAAAAAAAAAAAAAAATGTCAGGAAAAAAATATTAAACTATTATATCCGACGAAACGGATACTGGGAGTTATTAAATAGTATTCTTTTGAATGTATTTACCAATTTTTTTTAAAATTTTTTAGTTGAAAGTTCATTCTTTTACAATTTAAAAAAATATTTATAGCAATATTTATAATATTATAAAATTATTGAATGATATAAACCCCTCTCCCCTAATAATTACTCTAGATTCGCGCCTAGTTTCTACATGGAGGTATGTACCTATACTAAATTTCTATAAACTATACAAAGCATAAAATATTAGATTACTTGTCTCATACTCCATATTATGTATATCCGTCAATATAGGTATTAAAAAATCGGGTTTTTTTTAAATTTATAAGAGTTCCCATAGGCGAAGCAAATTTTCATATTCAGAAAATACAAATATTTCCGAAAATTTTACTCACTCCTATAAAATTAAAAAATAATTTTTTATCATTATAATATTAATTGTAATACACGATGTATCGCATTTAGTAACTAAATGCTGAAACTGTATCAAATATTATTCACAATAACTCCGCTCCGTTAAAAATCTAAAAGCATCACAAATATTTTTATTGTTTAAGTTTAAGAGGTGTCACCGCATACCATATACATTTATTGGCTCCACCTATGAAACTACCTACCAATATGATTACATACTTCAATACTTTTATTTGTTAATTAAGCGTTACTATGCGCTTTATTATAAATTAAAATTCGATGATAGCTGTCGATAAATACAATTTATTATTAGATAAGATTATTAAGGTATTTTAATTACCAGTAACTGTCTTTAATTTTAATATAACTAATTAAATGGTAAATGATATACAATATTTTCATTTTCATTTATAACGTACCTATCACTTATCAGGAACCGAACTTTGAAGCATGAATTACAATAGATACTTATGTTTTGCTTTTAATGCAATTTAATCGTAAAACCATGATCGCCAACCAGTCTCAATTGACATTAAATCTATGATAAATAAATAACAAATTATTTTAGTTGGATACTAATCATTATAAATCTTTTTTTCAAATTATGAACAGGTTCTGTGCGTGTTACATTTATAGACTAAATAATGTTTTAATATGTGGATAAAAATATACGTTATTAGTTATTATAATTTAACATTTTATACAAATTGCCAATATTAATGATATGAATTTGTATAACAGAAATTAATGTACATCGTATTATACATACCATATACAATTCCTTTAAACGATAGCGTTAAATTTGTAAGTAAAATTGTAATTTATTAATATTTAAATATTTTATATTATTTTTATTTTTTAAACATTTTATACTTGTACAAAACTGTAACATACAGTCAGACAGAACTACAAAAGTGAGAAAACCAAAGTATTTAGCTTCATGTTTATTGAAAACTTTTATTAATTACTTCATAATTTATAAGTCATTGGTTATTAGTGTTATCACGTTCAATTTTAGTTTTATTCTCTCAGATATGTATTAATAAGATTCAATTTTTAAACGGAAAATGGTTAAGTACTAAGTCAAAATTTCGTGAGTAATTTTAAATTTGCATATTTTTTGACAAAAAATTTTAATTTTTATACCGTATAAATTGTGAATGATACATTGTGTAATATGGTATAATATATATTTTTAATATACTTTTTTAATACTCAAAAGTATTATACACGATTTAATACACGTATAAATGTATAATACAAGGTATAAAACGGTAAAATATAAAAAAGAATTCTTTATTTTTACATCACTAACCAATCAATAAACATTATGGAGGGAGGAAGGGACTAAGAGATTTTGCAACCCTGGCTTAGAATAATAAATTGTATAATTACTCTAAGAATGTGTCACACGATGTCCTATAAATTTGATGATTAAATTATGTTGCATATCAATTCGTATTCAAATTTTGCGCCCAATTTTATAATTATAATCATTTTTGATCATCGTAAAAACCTATTCAATTAAAATAAAAAATAAAAAACATTAACTAGAGTAAAATATTGTAGACATAGACAACGTTTTACGATAAGACATATATCAACCACCCGCGTATATCATAATATATTAATGTCTTAAACGACTCACGAGTTCCTCGCATTAGAATGCTTCTACAACACTACAGTCCATTATACAATATACACAATCCATCTAGGTCGATGTTGAAACGGTAGCAAAAAATTAAGCGCCGGGGCTCAAAACTTCTTAACATCTACGTGTGACACATCCGACGTATGATTTATTGACATGAGCTATACATTACAATTTTAGCCGCAAGCTAAAAGCGTTAAAAAAAAAAATACGACATTATTCGCACACCCAATTGTACAACCAATACTCGTTCACGATATTATTTGAGATATAAAACTCGACTGCATAAAACGTTTCGTATGATGCAGAATATAAAAACTTGTATGCTTTTACGATATTTCAAAAAGGTGCCGATGCATACGGTAATGTATGATAACGATTGATATGTATCCCGCTAAAACGTACATAGGTCATAAAATCGTATTTCGTGATCTTTATAAATCGCGATTTTTAAACGTATTATTTCGTCGTTTCATCTTCACTTCTCCTACACGGCATGCGCGAACGGCGATCAACATGCGTTTACACTAATTATACCGAAATTATTGTCATACAGCAACACGTTAACGAAATAATCGCGGATATCATACCGCCCGAACTTCCGCAGTGGCAGATCACCATGATCCCGGCGGACGAAGACACGTTCTACATGCTAGTCCGGATACACCACCTGTACTCGTCCGAGGACGGTGTCGGGCTGAGCGACCTGTTGCTACTGAAACCGGACGACGGTCATCTGAAACACAACGAGAAGTCGTCGTCATCGTCAAACCAGCAGGCGGACGCCGACAGCATCCAGAACATCCTGTCCACCGTATACCAGGCGCCGACCGCGTTGCCCAGACTCGGCGAACACCTGTCGGAGATTTTAGCCAACATGTGGAACGAACTCGTGTCCGAGTACGACCCGCTGGAGAACCCAAAAGTATTCAGGAGCCGGCCGAACGTGTTTATTTTTGGCACCATGATGACGATCGTCATCGCGTCCGCGGCCAAGGACAAGACCACCAAGCGCAACTTTGCGCACAAGCTGAAGAGGGAGACGACGCGCCGCGACATTAAGTTACAGTACATGTGCTCGAGTGTGATCAACACGTTCCACCCAGCCCTGTGGCTTTCTATCGCCTGGTGGCTGTTCGTCAAGTGCGTACTCCGGTTGCCCATCACCATGATTCTGATGATCAAGAACATGTCCTCGTACCTATACTGGATGTCTGTGGTGGTATACTCGGTGTCCGAGCTGCTGTACTTAGCCCGGCTCGTGTACTACGCGCCGAGCACCGTCATCCGGGAACTGGTGTTGCCGTTCTTCGGCGGCCGAGACCGCGGAGCCATGCGGGCGCCGGAGGGCAGTAAATGCGTGTACTGGTCGCAGCCCATCAACCAGGACCTGGTCAACACCATACACGACAACACAGGCGCGGCTACATGCGAGATCCAGCTGTCCATGTTGGCTTCCGTGTTGCAGGAATACTTCACCGACACCGACGTCCGGTTCACCAAGGACGTGATGACCACCACGCGGTTCGTGTCCAAAGCCAACTTGTTCCAGCTTAACAACCGGCACGTGGTCACCAACGGGCTGTTGGCCCTGCCGCTGCCCATGGACACCGAAAACGATCCCATGTACAGCCTGCACGAGATGCAAGAGTGCCTTCAGGAAGCCATCGGCAACCAGACTGCCCTATACATAGCGTCCATGTGGCAGATCGACCACAGCCTTGCAACGTCGTTCCTGCCGTCGCCGGTAGTTAGCTGCGGGCTGCACTTCCTCACAAAAAAGTTCCCGTTGACCGTCACTTACGTCGAGGAACACAAGTCGGACCGCAAGCGACGGATGTTGTTGTGGGGCCAAGAGGTGGACGCCATCTTGTACTGGAGACCGCCGCAGTCCAACGTCTGTGAGTACAATAATATTAAAATATATAAATAGAATCGTAACTTTGTAGTTGTTCCGCCTAAAAAATTTGGATATATATAATATATTGTTATAAACCGTCCTTTTACACTTTTCAGGTATGTCGTTATCGATAATTAACTACGGCGGACATTTGAGATTGGCGGTAATGGCCGACGCGAAAATGACTCCTCCTTGTAAAGACATCGTATCCAAGTACGAAAAAAATATCCCGCATTTCGTTAAAGCAGCTGAGCATTATGCAAAAATCGTCAACACTTCAGATTAGTCTATAGTATTTTTTATACATTTATATTAGGTTTGTTATATAAAATAATGAAAAAATCCATTTTAATGTTTTTATATTAAAAATTAAACTACAAAATTTATAAAATACATACATCGAAATTTAATCAAAATTAATACTAAATAGGACATTATTTTTTTGGTGTAAAGTAATCAGATATTTTACGTTTCACTATTCTTTGTCCTCCATCATGTTCTTCTCTATCTCTTTTGAGAATACTCAACTGCCCTGTTGAAACTGATGATTTTTCAATAGCTGACTGAAAATCTTTTTTGGATTCGTTTAATTGTAGCCAACTGTTTTTCTGTTGCTTAATACACATAGTTCGCTCCTCATCATTATTTAATCTAAATTGATTTACAGGCAAAAACTTAACATCATCTTGGATCTCTTGATTATCTACATACTCAGTGGAACCTGTACTATCAACAAGTTTCAATTTTGATTCTTCTTCTAGCTTTTCTGGAGTTGACTCTATTACGCTTAAACTTGAAGAAAGTCGAGACTCTTTGGAAGGTGACTCGATAAAAGTTGTATTTAAATGACACTCAGATTCATCAGAAGTAGACTTTATAAAGTTTAAGTTTAAAAGGGACTGAGACTCTTCTGAAATTGACTTTGATGGATTTGAACTTGAACAAGGTCTAGGCTCTACATAAGTTGAACTTGAAAAAGAATGGAACTGTTCAGAGGTTTTATCAACTTCAGTATTTGAATTTTTAGAAGCTTGGAGTACTTCAGTGTTGGACTCTACTGCTTTATAATTATTCCTCAAAAATTCATTTTGTAAATTCTGTGAAAATATTCCAGGTTTACATTCATTATTTTCAAATACCTGAAAATGTTAAAATATCATATATTATCTGATAGGTCATAAAATTTTATAAAATATATTTTACGTACCTACCTGTCTGGCTTTATTTGCAATAGCATCATAAATATAATCGTGTACACTAACACATGGCATGGTTTCCAAACAAGCATAGTATTTAATAAGAATCCTAGAAACTTCACCTAAAATTAATGGTATTATTAATATAAAACATATTATAAATAACAAAATATTTGTTCCATTAATAACTCTCAAACTCATAGATGTATTTAAAAATTATAAACTTATTAATAATTAGAATTTTAAAATTATTTTAATTTTAAATTAATTAAAAATTCGAAATAGTCAATTTATAATTCTAATCTTTATGAATCATGTTTAATATTAGTTACACAATATCAAATAGTTAATATAACATAATAACAATTATATTTATTTTTTTTTAATCTTAGGAAAGATTAAGATTTAAGTTAGATACACTATTTAATTCAAAAATTATAGTTAAGTTGGATATGACGTGTGTTTCTAAAATTCCTAGATAGTCACCAATCCAGGAACTAACTACGGAAACATTCGCTTAATACTAGCACTGTCAGGTAATTGTTGTGTCCACTACACCACACTATACCAATAAAATATTATAATATTAAAATTTAATATCATGACTCATGACCAGATAGTAAATGAAAGAAAAACGCAACAGTAGATAATCAGCTTCAATTCAATGAATCAAAATTATTATTAATAAATTAATTGATACTAAGTATTTATAACTAATCAAATTTTATAAATACTGGAAAATAAATTATTATTTTAAATCATCAACCAGGCTCAAGTATAAAAATTATTAATAATTTACAAAATCAAATTTAAAAATAATAAGTAAGGCTCAGATTTTGTAGAAAATGTTTCTTTTAGGGGGAGTGTAATAAAAAGATAATTCTTATATATAAATATGTTTTGAATCGTTCTGATTCCAATGAAGTAAATTTTTTTTTTGCTTTTTCCTGTTTAGTTCTTTTTTTCTTAATATTTACATATTTTTCTTGAAAATCTAATTTATTTCTATGTTTATTATATTTGAACTAAAAATACTATATTATTATTGCTAGAAATCATAAAACCAGTAATAAATGGATGATTGATAAAATAACTATCTTTATTGTGACGAAATTGTATAGTTTTAAAATTATCTAAATTATATCTGCATATTTTTATAGCACGTTCAAATACTCTAATTGATGAAAAATATCAGTCAGTGAGGTAGTGTTCTAAATAATTTCTCTATAATCGTCTTTAGAACCCAATAGGATGAGTTTTAATCAAAGTAACTAAACCAAATATATGGTGGTAATTTTCTTTTTTCAAAATTTAATTCAATGTGTAATTAAAATTCTTTTTTAAGGATTTATTTTGCTACATAATCCAAACCCTAATGAGTAATAAAAGTTATTGACAAAAACAAACACAATGGTACATATTTTGTTTAATATTTAGCGTACAAAATAAAAGATAACTCACCAACTGTAATATTTTGGCTTTTCAAAAATGTATGCATACTATAAATTGAGTCTAGCAGTTTGGTATCACCAAATGTAAAGTAAGCTACATCTCGATTGGCTTGAGCAGCACTCATTAATTGCAACAATGATTTTAGATGACAGTCTCCACGAAAAGCACCACAGCCCCAATTTCCTGTGGCTATTGCAACATTAGAACACTCTGTACCTTGCCCCCATGAAAATCCAGCAAATGACTAAATACAAGGATATTAAAAACAATCATGACCATAATATAAGATATTAATTAATAAATACTTTGTGCAGCTCTCGTCTTAAGTTTTTTGTTTTAAATTGATTTTTAGGATCACTGTAGTACAGTGCATCAATTGCAACAATAGTAGTGTAGCGACGATTATTTTCATCAACAGGAGTAACATCTAAATGAACACCTTTCCACTCAAAAGAATTTGCATATCCACTGTAATCACTAAATCTCTCCACACCTAAAAATTATTTAGTTAATTTAAAAAAATAAGTGTTACATGTTATATGCAGTCTAACCTGTTATAATAATTGCTTCTGTATGTAACATCTTTTCTGAAAATAGCTGAGATAATAATAATTCAGGACAAATTAGAAACCGAATTTCTTCTTGTACACTACCATGTCCAAGAACACCTCCTCCAATAAATCTAAAAAATAAAATTATTTACAACTAATTTAATTTACCTTGTATTTAACATTTTTAAAATCACTCTTACTTATTTGCAAAGTCTACTTGCAGCATTCCATCACCATTATCTTCTATTGTCCCATCAGATGATATATACAAATTTGTCAACTTCTTTGTTGATTGTAACCAATATGGTAAGTCTCCAGATGGCAATCTTCTTCTAGAATAAGTTACAATTCCATTATAAACTGAAAATAAACATTAAATTTATGATCAAATATTATGAGTTTACAATATCTTATTATAACTATTTTTATTAATTTGCTCACCAGAATTAGCACTAGTGACTTTTCTAAAATAACAAATGATGCATTTCAATTTTTCATACAAATAGTGATTGGCTGAAGAAGTTACCATTAATTGAAAAAATCTATTCAAAAAAATAACATACATTATTTAATAAAATAACAGATTTTTATAAATTTATTACCCGTTAAAATTAATGTATGGATATTCTGAATACTCAGACTTTGAATTGCTAACATTTCGGTGTGGAAATGTACATAAGAAAGCATTAGCCAAAAGACAGGCAATTTGCATTTGACTTAATGATATAGAGTGATTATGAGTTTGTTTCAACAAAGGTATTGGTTTAGTTACTAACGTAGGTAATTTCAATGCTAATTTAATGATTTTTGGTAATAAATTATTGAAAAATTCTTGTGTTTCTTCTTCGTTTAAACACTAAATAAACAAAAATGTTAATATTTACTCATATAATAATTAACGTTAATAAAAAAATATTTATATTTTAAACTTCTATTATAAACTAAAAATCAAAGACATTTATTCAATAGTATACTAAAAATGCTAAAATAATAAATAATAATAAAAATTATGATAAAAATGTATAGATTACTTCATCAAAAAATGAATGCAGTAAATAAAACCGCCATTTATCTTTATACTTGGGATTATAAGATATAATAGCTTTTTCTAATTCTTCACTCGACAATATTGGTTTAAGTAAACTATAGGTGATAGTATTCCATCTATTTTTTTTAGAACTCTAAAATATCAGGAACATAATAATTAAATTAAGCTATGTAATAAATTAATAACTAAATAAACACATACCTTATTATTCTGATTTACTAAAAATAAATTATGTTTAGAACATGGCATCTTTACATGATTATCATCCCAGCTATCACAATATTCTTTGGGATAAGGTTCTGGCATATTGTTAGTACCAATTGGAATCTAAAAATAAATTCATTTAGATACACTTAATTTCAACTAATATATTAAACTAGATAGGTACTTTAAATAATAATGTATGCTCCGAACTAGGTATAAGTGGTGGGAACAATTTTTTTCCATAGCTTCTAGTCAGTAAATTCTTATTAGTTCCTTTCCAATTCGTAGTTTCGTCATTTGAATTATTATCTAATTCAGACAAAAATTAATACATTTTTTAATAAAAAATATACTTACATTAATTAATTTGTATGAATATCTGAAAGCAAATCTACAAAATAATATCTGGTAAACCAGAAGAAAAGATATTTTCTATACCTACTTAAAGTATGTTTAAACAAAATTTAAAAAAACAAACTCAAATACAGATAGAAATAGTAAGAAAAAATTTTTTTAAAGATAACTTATTTTTTTTTTTAACTAATCTATATTAATTTTTCATTGTGATATATTAAGATAACTCAAGTAGTGATTCTTCATTATTTGTAGTGAAAAATCAACATGTTTAAGTTTCAGTTTTGCTTTATCACTTCCTACTTTAAGTTTAATGTTATCAGAACTTCCAAACTATTAGATGTTTACAAACTACAAGATTAGAAAATCTATTTTCCAATAATAACCATGTGTAATAGATTATAATTTATAGTTTATAAAAGGCATTTTAAAAATTCATAACATATTAGATAAATACAAAACATTATAATGAGTATAATAAACATTAGGTATTGAGTAATTTGTACGAATACAGATAACAGGACAGAATAACAAAATAGTATATGACATTATAATTTTTATTGATAATAATAATATGAAAGTAACAGTCAAGTTGCAAATAAATGGCATTACAAAAACCATATTATATAATATATAATAGGTATTAAAATATATATATTTTTTTTTAACAAAATTTTGATTAGAAATTATTCTGTAATTCTTTAAAGCAATATCTATATAGAATATTTTTTGAGAGGAAAAGAAAGAGTATGACCAAATAAAATAATTTAAAATATGCAAGTATTCAAAACATAAATTTACTATTTGACTTAATTTAAATTTTAAAATAGGTAATTTTTTTTAATAGAATAAGCATACCTAATCTATGTAATTATGTCACATGCAATCCTATCCTAAACTTAGGCATTATAAATTTCTGTAAAATAACTAAAATAAATAAATGGAGAGAGACCAAAATATAACAAGCGATATAATGGCATTTTAATATAGAATATGACCTTTTATTAAAATAGACAAGTGAAATGGCATTTTTATATATCAGTTGCCAGGATATTTTAAATTTCAATTTACTTGTTTTACATTTTTGTAAACATTAGAACTATTAATGCCTGGTATATAATAAAATGTTCAGATATTCTACATTATATTTATAGTAAAATTATACTAATACTTGTGAAGATGAACATTTAAAATACTATATATTTGGTTTTAACCTAAAAGACTCTATGATTATGAAAAAAAAACATGACATTATCATCTGTAAAAAATGTTGAAAAAAAAATGTTTACCACAGATTAAATAACAAATGTAAGAGATACTAAACAGCTAACAGATAAGTTAAACTTTTGATCTGCCATGAAGATACAGAGAATTTTAGTCCCATCCATTGGAATGTACCTACAAATTATTCTATATCAACAAATCTGATACCTAAGTAATAAGTATTAAACATTTTGTACAGCATTTACATGTTCCAAAATAATTATCACTATCAAATAGTATTCATAAATCTTCTTACCACTTTCCATGATTGAAAACCGTGTGTCCAAAATGAATTAAATGCTTGTCATAATCGTGTTTGTAAATAGAAAAAAAATGAATAAACGTTTACTATTAATTCTTCAGTCACATTTTCGACCTTTCATCCTTAGCATTTAACAACAGTTTTGAAAGGAATAAAAAACGCAGCTATAGAAGTTTAAAAAACTCCAATCAGCGCAATCCATTACTCATAGTCTTTGAAATTATTTATACAAAAATGTCAAAAACTCAAATCATCTTTAACCGACAGTCAGCAATCAAAAATCCATTATTTATTGACGTTTCACAGTGCACTTATACACTACGGCACAACGCTAACACAATAATACGATAATTTGCATTCATTACAGTGGGGCGAACATCTATGACTTTTTATCTATTATGGACACTATCATGTACGCTCAGATAAAAAAAAAACGATTAAATCAGCATTATACCAAACACCAAAGTAGAATTATTGTTCTGAAATGCAGACCATCGGCGTAACCTAATTTTATACTATAAAATTCTTATTTAAGGATTAACCCAGGTCCCAGAGAATACTAAAATATCTGTAAATCTCGACGTAACGAATTTAATAAACACAAATAATCAACACATTTACGCGGGAAAAAATAGTTCTCTGTTATCACTTAACGGAGGTAAAAATATTAAAATAATAAATTCGTGCAAACTGTTGTAATAATTACAATTTACAATTATTATTTATTTTTTATCATTATTAAACAACTATTCTATGAGTAAATGATGTATCCACAATATAGAGAATATAATGTTATACCACTTGTATAAATTCTGGATACCAATCATTACGATATTGAGTAGTACCACCAGGTAGCGCCATAAATGGCGCAAAGGGTGAAGGCCGTTTTTTGTTTTTGTAAATGCATTTTTATGATAAAAAATAATTAATATTATATCTATAGGTGTCCGAGGCTTCTTATTGGGAAGTTTCTTGACAAAGTTTTTTTTTATGATGTTGGGTTGTCAGCCAAGGTTAAAGGTTAAAAAAGGTCCTAAATGGGCTATAGAAGCTAAAAAAAAAAAAAAAAAAATATTATATCTATACAATAATATTAATTACCTGATTTGTTTCACATTTTTGTTGTTTAAAATCTTTTTTACATAGGTATTAATAATAACTCGTAAGTCCGTTACCTATCAAATAAAAATACTATTTTTTAAATTCATTAAGTAATGATATTATATAGATACCTACCTATACAGAGCCACAGAGGTAGTTAAATTATTTTAATTTAGGAAGTTTTATTACATTTTATATCAATTTAAATCATTTTTCTAATATTGTTCGTCGTTGTTGCATTCTCTTTATCATAGTGACATATGTTATACATCCTGGGTTATAAATAAAATGTAATATTTTTAATTAATAAGTTAATATATTCCCCACATCTAAATAATTTATTAGTCTATTCACAAATTAACCAATATCAATATTATTAATTATTTTTAAATATTGGATGTTATAGTATAGTAGACAATAATTGTAATGAATTCAATTTTTTAGAAGAAAAGAGTTATTGCATAGTTAATAAATATAATTCATAATTATATAAAATTACCCAATTGGCAATTCGTACTTTTAAAATCACCAATACTATTATTTTTAATTTTATAACAAAAAAAAAAATATAATCATGTATTTTTTTTCATTGGGAGTACATGTTCTTAGGTCATTTAAGGTTTTATTTACAGTTTATTTCTACGTAATAAATATTTTTAACATTTATTTTAAATACTAGTACTGTTTAAAATAAATAGTATTTTACTTATTCTGTTTTTATGCATAATATATTATATATTAATTAATAAACAAATAAACATTTAAATTTAGTAAAAGGTATACAGAAAAAACGACATAAAAAAACCAAAATAATAGTATAATCATTTATCGATATAATTATAGTATAATCAAAAAAATTGTCTAAAAGTTTACCTATAGACAGTGGTGTATTTACATATTTTCCGCGTGTAGGCCTGTGAAAAACTGTCGCCCTAAATAACTAAAATAATATATTCCACTATCTAAATTATCATTTAACAACCTACTACAAAATATATATTAATTAAGGAAGTATACAAAACAAATTTTATCTAAGTACTAAAAATAATTTCTTAAGAGTTAAACCATTTTTATTAATAATTAATGTCAAAATACATTTTTCAAACTTGTATATGATAATTATTAATAAAGTATATGATATAATTTCATTACCTACAATTCACTCTTTTAAATTTGACTTAAATGACTCCCCTTTTTTCATACTTCATAACTTATAACTTATAAGTATCTGTAACCCTCCCCATATCTTATTCAATTGCTTACTTACAAGCCAAACGATCTACTTTATTTAACTCTCTTAAAAATTAAAATGCTTAATATTTTTCATTTTTTACTTAACATCCATTATACTTTACATACTTAATCTGAATCTGCTATTTAACTTGTTATCACTTATATTAAAGGCTAATTTTATTTTATAAGTAGGCGGTAGTTAACATATTAATTGTATTATTTTTATTTTGTTACTGTTGAGTTATCATAGTAAAGTTGTATTCAATAGTGGCTTTTAAAAAAAAAAAAATTTTAAATGTTATCTATTTATAGGTACCTACTATACTACTATGAATCTGTTTTTTACTGTCTTACAGTATTTATAAAAAGATGTTATTAAATTTTAAGTAACAAAGTTGATATAATATAGCATAAATATAAATTATTATAATATATTTCGTAAAGGGATACAAAGGTAATTCGCTTCCACGTAGTGTACCCCGAGCAACGTCCTAGACGGCTAAATAATTACCACCACCGGCTGCTGTACTATTCTTAGAACCTCACAGCAACCATGAGCAACAACAACTCTAACATCAACACTTCTCAACCAGGAAACAGTCCTTCTGAAGACTATTTGACTCGAGATCTGGGCGCCCAGCTCCGTATCTTTCAACTTAATGTGGGAGGAATTAGCAGTGATAAAAGCAGATATCTCGAAATATTATTAAAAGAACATAAAATAAAAATAGTCCTGTTGTAAGAAACTCACGTTCCAGACAAGCTACAAATGACACGAAAAGCTACAATTTATTGATACAAGCTAATTTCAGCTCTATACCATATAGAAGTTATGGATCTGCCACCTACATTAGAAACGATATAAAAAACCTGAGTCACCTTTTTTCTACATCGACAGACATCGTATATATTCTAGCTATACGTGTCGCTGAGATAACTATCCTCAACATATTATATGATCGTCACCTAACAAAATATGGCCAACTCCTCCAATACCAGTCATGCCACATCAATCAATATATATTGGGGACTTTAACAGCCACCATACCAAAACAAATTATTATAATAATTAAATACTTATACTAATAATATAATAAATGCAATATTTTCAAAAAAAAATGATATCATCCTACTTTAATACTAAAAGGAAAATAAATGACTTTAATAAGTGTATCAAAAAAAAAAATTTCATTTGGTAATATAAACTGATAGACTGTTTCCGCTTAGAATGGTTTTTCGTAAACAATGATATAATATCGTTGCAAAATTCAAACTTAACACACCTTTAATAATAAACCACATAACGTAGGTACAGCAAAGTGGTGCCCAGTACCCACTTATCTACATTCTACTATTTTTAAAATAATGCTTCATAGTTCCAAGACTGTTGTCTATGTAAAATATATCTAAAATATTTTCCCTGCATCATGGGTGTAATCATTAAAATTCAAGAATTTTGCTCATACCTCAAAATAGCGATGACTAATGATCATGATTTAAGATAATACTATCTAAACCGTTTTGATGACTATAAATTTGAAGTTATAACTTTTAACTATCGCTTCACCTTAATAGCCTGGTTTCTTTATTAAAATTCTAAGAAATAAGAATTATCGAGTCGATACGCGTGTAACTACAGAATTTATTGAAAAATATCAACGCAATATTTGTTTAATTTTTTAGACCAACACGCAACAATGTTTGATAAAATCCATTCATAGAAAATCGATTTTTTTTTTTATGAATTTTGAATAATCTTTGAGTAAAAATTTTGTATTACAAAAATTATAGAAAATAATATTGTTGATAGGTAGTTTTAAATTTACCGATTTTATATTTATATAATTTATATAATTTATATTTTATAATTATTGGAGTGTAAAAATAAAATGTTGTAAATTTAAATTGTTTTATGAAAATATTTTAAAAAATCGCTGTCATTCCCCTAAAAATATAATTTTTTAAATTGATGATTTTTACTTTAAGATGGATCAGATGGTGTCTAAAAAATAATATTTTTTCATAAATATATCTACATTAATAATATAAGTTAAATAAAAAGTAATTCGCATTATTGTAGACTGTAGTTATTAGTTATTAATAGTTACTCTTACCAATTGGCTAATGCCTATTATAAATGGTACACAATACACATAACACTTACCTAAGATAACTTAATGTTAACAACAAGTATGTCCAAAGTTTCATTGATATACTCGTCACGTATTTCCCATAAATAAAACTATACTGGTTAAAATGTTAAAATACAAATTTATAATTTTTAACTATTCGTAATCGTGAATCGATCAATGATTATAATTGCAATGAGTTGGCGCGCGCGGGAATTAGGATACTTTCCCAAAAGTACATGGTACCACTGATCGCATGTAGAAAAGATAAGAACGTCACAGAAGGTCATAGAGCAACACTCTATGTATTGGAAGTTCCGGCTTCTGTCAAAGCCGGCCGTCATAATGATAACATAATATCACAGTTTTTAGCAGGTCAATGGTTTATACCTGGCGATAATATTTTAATAACTCCGTCTGTTTTGACATTTTGAGGTTATACCTATACCGCGGTGTTTCATTAAGTGGCCATGACTTATTAAATAATTGTGGACAATAATATTTTGTGAACGCACTCCATGGTTTTTAACGTTTAACGTATTCTGTGTTTCTGCGGTAATTTAGTTTTTGCCGTTTGCTGTTTAGTTTTACACCAGACGTCAAAATTGTTGTGCTATATCATTTTTTACAAACAACTCGCACCCGTTTGTCAAGGACGTACACCAATATGAGTGACGAAGAAGTAGTTCAAATTACCAACCTTTTGGAACGCACGATCTCCACCGACAAAGAAGAATTAAATCAAATACAGAAATTCCTCGAGCATGCAGCGCAGACGAATCTCCCAGGTTTTCTCAAAACTTTATCTAATGTCTTACTTTATTCCGTCAATAACCCGATTGCTCGCATCGCCGCCGGCCTTCAAATCAAAAACCACATTACATCGAAAGATGAAGCAGTTAAAGTTCAGATGAAACAACGTTGGTTGTCTTTCAGTGAACAAGATCGTCTTTTTATTAAAGAAAACATATTCAAAGCACTCGGTACAGAAAGTCGGCCTAGTTCCGCTGCTCAGTGTGTTGCCAATGTTGCTATTATTGAGTTACCATTAAACCTTTGGCCTGGTCTTATTGCCTCGTTAGCAGCAAATGTCACTGACCCAAATTCATCGGATGTTATTAGAGAATCTTCTCTTGAAACTATTGGTTATATATGTGCCGAGACTGATCGCGATGTTTTAAAAGCAGAGTCGAACACAGTTCTGACAGCCATTGTACATGGAATGACCCAACCAAATAGTCATGTTTGTTTGGCTGCTACTACTGCTCTTTATAATTCTTTGGAATTTACAAAAGGAAATTTTGAAAAGAAAAATGAACGTGATTACATAATGGAAGTTGTATGTAAAGCTACTCAATCAACTGAAACTCAAATAAAGGTTGCTGCACTTCAATGTCTTGTTAAAATTGTCTCTTTATATTATGAGTACATGGAACTATATATGACAACACTATTTCCAATTACACTACATGCTATTAAATCAGATTTAGATGATGAAGCACTACAGGGTATTGAATTTTGGTCAAGTATTGCTGAAGAAGAAGCCGAAATTGTGTATGAAAGGCAATGCCAAGAACAACCCAATGATAAAAAACTTATGTTGTATGCTGAAGGTGCATTGGAATTCATTATACCTGTTTTAATGGAAAAACTCACCAAACAAGAAGAAGGTGATGATGATGATGATTGGAATCCATGTAAATCAGCTGGTGTTTGTATAATGTTGCTAGCTACTTGTTGCCAAAGTAATATTGTTCCACATGTAATTCCATTCATAAATGCAAATATCAGTAATCCAGATTGGCGTTATAGAGATGCTTCAGTCATGACACTTGGATCAATTCTTGGTGGTCTAGATCAAATTGCATTAAAAAGCCTATTAGAACCTAACATTCCTGTTCTTATACATTTGATGTATGATTCTAGCGTCGCAGTTCAAGATACATCTGCATGGACATTTGGCCGCATATTTGAGTTTGTACCTGATTTAATCATTAATTCTCCTTGTTTAAATGATGTACTTGGAGTGTTTATCAAAGGTCTTAAATCTGAACCACGTGTTGCTACAAACATTTGCTGGGCTTTTAGCAGTCTTGCTCAAGCCACTGGAGAGGATATGAATGTCTTAACTCCATACTTTGATTACATTGTTCAAGGCTTGCTCGAAACCACTGAAAGAGGTGATGGTATGAGATCAAATTTAAGGTCAGCTGCATATGAAGCTCTTATGGATATGATTAAATGTGCACCAGCTGATTGTTATGAGACTGTTAAAAGTACAACCTTAATTGTACTTAGTCGTTTGAATCAAATAATCAATTTACAATCCATGAATGAGGATTGTTTGGACATGCAAGGGTTGTTGTGTGCAACTTTACAAAGTGTTATAAGAAAAATGAGTGGTGAAGACGTAGAAAAAATTGCTGATGCCATAATGAACGCTCTTTTAGTTATGTTGAGTACTAGCAAAGATAGTGGTTTACAAGAAGATGCATTAATGGCTATAAGTCCTTTAATAGAAAATATTGGAAAAGGATTTAATAAATATATGGAATATTTCAAAACATACTTATTTATTGGCTTGCAGAATAATATGGAATTCCAGGTGTGTTTAGCTGCCATTGGTTTAGTAGGCGATTTGTCACGAGCTCTTCGTGAAGATTTAGCTCCATATTGTGATCAAATTTTCGCTTTACTTTTTGAAACATTAAGCAATAATACTGTTAACCGGAACTTGAAACCACAAATTTTGTCTTCATTTGGAGATATAGCTCTTGGCATTGGTTCAGAATTCAAAAAGTACCTAGAACATGTTTTGAACGCGTTGGTTCAAGTAGCGCAACTTCAATTGGATCCCAATGATGCAGAAATTGTTGATTACTTAAATGAACTTCGTGAAGGTGTATTGGCTGCTTATATTGGTATTGTTCAAGGGCTAAAAGGTGAAGGATATACACCCAATCAAGATGTTTACTTATTAGAAGCACACTTACCATTCATGGTTCGATATATGATATCAATTTGCTCTGATCCTAATGCACATCCAGGAATATTAAAAAGTTGCTGTGGTCTTGTCGGAGACTTGTGCACAGCTTTTGGTGCTAAAGCATGTTCGGTTCTAGACAATGGAGAAGTGCATGAACTTCTATACAAAGGACGTCAATCCTCAGATGTTACTGCCAAAAGTCTAGCCCGTTGGTCTGCGAAAGAACTTCAAAAAATCAAGACCTTTGCAATGTAAAATATATATGATTTTAAACGTGAGGCTCTATTGATCGTTTGTCTTCTCGTATGATTGTCTTTATTTAGTGCCTATATAATTTTTATGGTATAAATGGAACCAAAACGTGTCTGTGATTTTGTATAACTGTATGAGTAAATGTGCTACTCTGTATTCGTATTCCTACTAGTGTACGGATTTTAAAGTTAAGTGAGAAATTTTTTTTTATTTATATTAGTATACATCGATTGAGCTCATTTACTCGGCTCGTATGACTGACTGATTATCAAATAATATTTGTTAAATATTTAACTTGTATATAATATTTGTTTATAATATGAAAAATCTTAAAACTGTTTCTGATTGTCCGTTTTGTTCCGAGTGCGTATTTTTGTATGAATGCAATATTATTTATTTATATATTAGGTATCTTGTATTTGTTTTTATTGCCTGTCCGCCTGTCATTGAGAATAGTGTTTTAACATTCATTAAATAGAATCTTTCATGAATAAAAAAAAAATAAAGAGTTATTATTTATTACTGTAGTCTAAAATAAAGTTTTTTCTTGTATTAATAGTATATTTTTCTCTAACATATTTAATTTATTTTAATTCATCGCTAATAATTTTAAATGTTTTTACTTAAATTGCATTTTTTTTCAATAACAGTTTGGTCGTTTGTTTATTTATTTTATTGTTGATGAACACCAGTTAATTTAGAAAATTGACTACAAAATATACGTTACACTACATGAAAATATATATTATATTAAATTAATTCAAAATGTAAAAAAAAAAAAATGTTTATTTTATTTTTTCTAAACTAATAGTACAAAATAATATAGACAATAGATTATTTTTACTTAATCATCTGTTAGAGATAAAAATGTATGAAAAAATTCTTTGTATTCCTCATACCTATGCACGTGTAAAGAATATATATATTATATAAAATATTATATTATTGTCTCTAATTGTGCATTTGTTTTATACTTTATAATCGTGTTTGAGAAAAAAAATCAAATTCAATAAAACAAACAATAATTGTAATTAAGTTTCAAACCCAAGTATGAGATCTACCTTAGATCAAACATAATTATAGTCTATAATTGTTATTTAACAATCATGAATCGTTTGGTGTTTAATTTATGTGTTGGAATGTACACTCCAACAATACTCGCTATTCACACTAAGTAGTTGAAAGTACCTACTCGATATATTTAATTAATTCTGTATTACTTATTGTTCATGAGCAAATGAGATAAGTCGTAATAATTAATAAGATACAATCGATTTAAAATTATGTTACTAAACAGTAAACTGTTGTACGAATGAGATATTTTTGAGGTCATAGATTTCGAACCACAATAATATTGCGTTTAAACCACTTTAAACTTCAAACCATTGGGCGATACTGCCAACTTTTTATTCAGAGAAAATATTTCTATTTATGAATAACTGATCGAATGACTCGATTAACTTGTACAATCGTACCTACTGTATATTGTAATAGTTCTTTCTCGGTTCAAGAATAAAAAATAAAAATTATGAGTTTAATTAATTTCAGTTTTTAGGCTTGTCGCTTGCAACCAAACAATAGACCTATGAAAGTATAAGCAAATTTATTAATTTTTATTTTATACGCTCGTAACAGTCGCAAGTTGCAGCCAGAACTTTAAACTCACATCAGTGATCAGTCCATCTTCCGTCATTAAACGGTTATTCGCTGAGGCAATGGAGTACCTACGAATTGTTTTTTGTTTGTTTTAATATTTTACTACGGCTGAGATGAGGTGACCTGTTGGCTGTTTAGTATTTAGCAGTTCTATATTGTTCTGTGATATAGCTAACTTTATCTGCGCGCCGACTGGTAAAATGTACATTGGACACACTGGCGTTTAGTCTTTATTGACTTTACGATGCACGTTAAGCGTTAATGATAAAAATGATAAAATGATAATAGGTAAAAAACTAAAATGTTGTTACTTAATACTTATTGAAATATAGTACTGTAGTACTAGACACTAGAACTACTATTAAATAATAATTATTATAGTGGTTTTAGTTAATTATTATTTATTAAATTAAAATTTCCAACAACAACAAAATTATCAGAATCGCTTTTTATTTAAAAAATATTATTGAAAATTATTTAATTTAATTTTCAATTAAATAATATCAATGAATTCTATGGTCTCCTAAATATTTGAATTTTTCATTATTCAATACAAATAATTCTTACATATTTTACATATAGGTATAATAAACAATATGGGTGATATTTTGTTGTCATAAATCTATCAAAAACAATTCATTTTGAGTTTAAAAATTATACCCATCCTACTTAATGCATCTAAGAATATTTTTTTAATATTTAAAATTAAAGGTAATGTATTCAGTTAAAGTGATTGTAGTAAAATGTTTGTGTTAATCTTTAATATTTTAAATTATTAATTTAATAGGATTTGTATAATTGCTGTTTCGAAAATGACTGAGGTCGATTATCGGTATATAGCATTTGAAAATGATCATATGTATTGGAAAACTACCAATAATAGTAATAAAAATTGTCAATTGTTGCAGACCAGCGTTTCTACAGTTAAGTAAGTATTAATAGTAACTATTTAGTATATGCACAACATAGAAAATAACATTTTTCATAGTTGATATAGTATAATATCTATTTTCCCTTAGTTTTACTATAGTTAATTAAGTCTATATTAAAAATGAACTTTATCTATGATATTTCATTGAATTTAAATTCTGAGCAGAGCAATATTATTGATTTTATGTTATAACTTTTTTATTGTATGTGAAGATATTTTTTGAAAATACTTTAATCATTAATTTTGTTAGTGGTTTGAGGTTTCTGTTGGTAAATTTGATTTAATTTGTACTATGGGCAAAATCTCTGTAATTTTCATAATGATTGAGATTAAAAAAATGTTCATAATAATTTGATATCTAAAACTTAATATAATAATATTAAAATAATTGCTTGGTAACCACGGTAATAATAATAATAATTGAGTTACTGATATATTTCCTTACATTTAGATTTCAAATGAGTATACTATAATACTATTTAGTAAAATGAAATGAAAAACTAAATTTAAATGTAACTTACACAAATAAGGAACTAATTAAAATTAAAATAAATATATCCTGACATAAGGACCGATTCCTAAAATACAATAAGACTTTATGTATTATTTTATTATTTTTACACTGTTATTGATAATTGTATGAAATGCAAATTCAATGTTTTTGACAGAAATTTTTACAACTTAATGTATTATTTATAGAAAAATAAATTAATTGTAGCAAAATAAATGTAATATAATATATAGACTGATAGACTGTCTTCGCCTATGACCTGGAAGCATTTTTCATACACAATGATATACCTATCATTGATTTTAAATTGAACACATACTTTATCTAAGGTGTCCCAATCAATGATGAAGTACACTCATATACTCAACAATTTTTCACCAATTTAATAATGTTTCATCTATAGTAAATATTTTAAAATACAAGGTTCTAGTATCTATCTGGCACCTGCTATCATTCTTTAAGTAAAGATATTAAAGTTCAATGAAAGGTTTTATACGTTTTCTTTAAATTCAAAAATAGTCGATTTAATTAAATAATTATATCTAAAAAACTGTATTAGTTATTCAAAAATTAAATCAGGCAACAATCACCAATCTATAATTCATATTCTTTGAATAAGTTTCAATTATTCTATTGATTACTTGAAATGTATTTAAATAATTTAAAAAGTACAAAGTACTTATTATGATTTATTATTATTATTGATATATTTTTTAGACCCGAATACGATTCAGCTGTTTCTTTAGAAACTCAACCGACTAAAAAACAACAAAATAAAATTACACAATGTGAAGACAAATCAGATAAACAAAATTCAAGTGTAATTTTTCTTCATGATACTTTAAATTTTCCAATATCTACAGACTTTAAATTGTAAATATTAATAATTTCTTTTAGCATTAAATTTATTTTTATTAATATATAGGTTATTATTTTCAGATCACAAAATAAATTACCTATTCAAAAAATTGATATCACTAACAATTCAAGTACAATTCCTGTACAATCAAAACTAATAAATACTTCTAATACTGTTCCTACTACACAAACACAATCAAGTGCAAAACTTATTTCATCTCAAATTAATCTTATAAATACAAAGTTACAAAATACGTAAGTAAATTGAAATATTATTTTAAATGTAAAAAACTTATAGTGATGTCCATTTGTATTAAGAAGTTGTGATATCCGCATGTGTTGTCTCCGTCTTACAAATGCATAACATGACAATTTTACGCTCAGCAGATCATGTTTTGCTCCGTTAGATCAAAAATTAGAGTGAATTGGCTTCTTATAAAATTTAAAAGTAAAAAATATTATTAAAACGACCTAATGGGCTTTTACTATATTTGAATTTTGAAGCGAGTTATAAGTATTTAAAATTGTAAATTTTATACATCTTAAAATCACTTATAACTCACTTCAAAATAAATATAAAGCAATACTATATATTACTAGAAGTCACTAACTTTAATTCAATGACAATATCATTAAACTAGAACTCTGGCACAAATATATGATACCATTGTAATAACAGAAATATTTATCACGATATACATCCTCTTAAATAAATAATTTTGACCCTTTTTAAAAACTTTAATAATAACAGTAATGATATTTATTATTTAGCTATATATTTTGGCATTATTAATATAAATTAAAGTCATGTTTTAATTTGTCAGAATTATACTAGTAATTACAGTTCAATGTTACAGATGGTTAAAATTGGTATTTTTAAAATAATTTTAATAGTCTTTAATGAGTGTATTGTTATAATTTATAAACAAACTACCTTGAATAGATCTATTTTAACTTTAAATTTTAATAATTTTTACTGCAATATGTTGAATCATAGCTATATAGTTTATAGTACAAAATAATATTACAAATATTTCTATTTTATGCATAATTACAAGTACAAAAATAACAAAATATATAGTTAATAGTTTATTAAAATTACATTTCAATCTTCTACTTATTTTCCAGAACATCAAAAACACTCTGTGAAACCTCATCCTCATTAATCGTTAAAACCTTTTATTAAACCTATTAAGTCATAAAAATAAAATTGTTTTATGATTATAAAACAAACATATACTATGAATTAGCTACTAATTTATGTCAGCGTCATATGAGTGGAGAAAATATATTTATGTGAAAATGTGGTAACATTTACACTGAACATAAAGATTTGTTGATCACTATTTGACTCATGTTAAATGTAAAAAAACCTAATAATTAAAAAGATAAAGGTAATGTTGAATAATATTTTATTAATGTAAAATATTTAGACTAATATTTGTTATTTTCAGAAAGATCATCAAATGATAATGTAAAGAAAATAAAGATGTTGGTAAAATTGATAATGATAAAATATTTTCAAACAAACTATACAGTTATTAAATTACATTAAATTCAAAAATAAAGTTATTTTTCAGGAGAGTGTATTATGTGTCATTCAGTTTTCCCGATCTTGGGAAACATAAGAACTGTTCACCTCGATGAATTGACTAGAAATAAAGTTAATATTTACCGTTGTACAATTTGTGGTATGAGTTTAATATTAAGCAGCATTCTGGACCCATGAGTTGTCTGCACATAAATCTGCTTGTACTCATACTTGTGAACATTGTCTTAAGTACTTTTTATGTAAGGAAGACTTAGAAACACACATTGAATCTCATTATGGTGACATTATAGTATTTATGTCCATATTGTGATTGGCTTTCTAATTCAAATGGATTAAAGAACTCATCTCATTAATCATATTAGTTCAACAATTCTGAGTACTCAGTTTCAAAACACCAGTTAATGAAATGGAATATAGTCCTACAGACCACCTGAACAATATGATCACTTTTCCTGAATTGAATGAACAAACGAACCGTTGTGACGTTTATATTGAAGAAGTTGATGATAATAGTTATCAAATTAGTTTGTAAGGACAATGAAGATAAAGCATCATCACAAATAAACTTTCTTATTGTGATGGCCATGAAATTGATACAGAACTAAATAAGTTGCATTATTTTTGAAACAAATTTAATTTAGCCATTACTTTGTAATAGATTAACATTCAAAACGTTTTGTTATTAATTCTTGTATTATTTTTAGTTATACCTTCGTAGAAGATAATAAACAGTTATCATCAATGAACAACAAACGCGCATTATTAAATAACAAAGCCGAAATAAGTTATAACAGTATGTAGAATATGCATGAATATTGTAGTTATTCAAGAATTGAAGGCATATGAAGAAAAACATATAATGCTGCTTCTCTTATCAATGGAGATTTGTCATGCTGAGTTAATCGAAAGTCATGTCATGGATAACCATAGAGAAAACACACAAATAATAAACCTCTAAGTATTACATAAAACTCTGCATAGATATTATTGTAGTGTATCACATGTTAATTTTAAATGGGATTATAATATGTTATTAAAAATGCTTTTATAATATACATGATTCTTCTTTTTAGGTGCTCAAAATGTTCTAAATGTTTTACCTATAAACATCGGCTCTAAATAGACACATGATGACCATAATTCTGACCATTGAAAAAGTAGTAAAATGCTCTGTATGTGATAAACATTTTCATTTTAAGGAATATTTAACTCATCAAGTATGTTTATCTAATAAAATATAAATAGACTTATTATTGTATGTTATATATAAAAACAATACATTTATGTGTTTGTATTGTTGCTTATTCAATAATAACGCCATAAGGGTAAACATTATATGTGCCAGTTGTGGCAAAAATTTTTCAACCAATGCTACTGCATGAATAAACACAGTTATGCCATACAGACGAACGACCATTTATGTGCGAACATTGTGGGCAGACTTTCAAATATAAAACTCATTGTGACGTTTAAAAATATGCATCTAAGATCATGAATTAATAGAACCACCAGAAAATTTGAATGTGAACTTTGTAAAAACTATTTAGTACAAAGTATACCGCGACATGCATCTTAAGCGACACAACAGTCAGATGCATCAATGTGATGTATGTTACAAACTATTTGTTAAGCACATATGAAAAGACATATTAAAATAATGCATCGAAATACATAGATGATGAATAATTATTTAGTGTTATTTAAATTATACTTCCTTTTGTTCTATTTTGTTTATAAATATTGGTATAATTTCTCAAATATTAATTAATTTATATTTCATTATATGTAATTATAAATATTTATAATAACAAAATGTCTAGTGTTAAACATAATTGGTCTTAATTATTTATATACTATTCTTTACTATAATCAATTTTCTCATAGTTTATTATGTTTAGAAATGCATAGTTAGTTATATCATTAATCAGTAATACGCTCGAAAATATTTTCTAAAAATAAAATATAAAATATGAAACAAATCTATCAGAAATATCTATAAATTATTATTGTAACCTTAAAAATAAATTGTCTAAATAATTGTCACAATATAAAAAGTTATATGAGGGACAATTACTACTATAAACTACAGAACATTCTGCTTAAATCACCTAAACTGAATATGTGTTACAAGTAGAATCCTATCTATTTTTAAATATTATACAAAATAGGTAATTAAATAACTTAATATGATACGATATTTATTAATTTGTCATGGGCTGGTCATGTATTCCATCGAGAAGAAAATAGTGCAGATAAGAATAATTGAAAACTAGTCTTAAAAATAATAATACGGATATTAAATTTTAATTAAAAATATAATATACATACCACGTAATCTATAAATTATAATATTACTTTTCTTTGTAATTAAATATAGCTATTAAGTAAATAACCACCAATAATTTGATTATCTATATGACTTTATTCCTACAATGTAAGTACCTGACTAACTGACTACGTCTCGACAAAAACTGTAAATAGTAAATACCTACATTCTACGTCCTATTATTTTGCCACTATTTTTAAATAAATAATAAAATGTTTTGGTCATACTTTTCAACAGGCTACCAGGTTTCACCAAACAGCTACA